TCCTGAGTGCCGGTTCACATATAGGTGGATTGGATGCAGTTTGAGCCGCATCCAATCCGCATAACATGTGAAATAACGTTGCTTCCTATGATGCCTGTTCACATTTGTCCGGTGCACTGGTAGTGTAGATTCAGTGTGCTGTCCGATTTCTGAGCAGTGTGATCCAGTTCTGGTGCGGATTGCAGGCTATTGACTATCCGCTATGGGATCCGTTTCTAAACCTGACGTGTGTGACCAGGATAAAATCCTGAGCTGATCTTGTCCTGAACCTGATGTAAACCTGACCTGAACTGCTGAACAAGTCTTGTTTCAATTAGCTGTGAAACTTGAGCACGGGTGCGTCAACTCTGAATGCCTACCAGCTGCTGCTCTGCTACCCTCTGAAAAGCAATCCACCACAGATCACTTTTCAGAGGGTGTTAAGCACTACTACCTGTCTGAAGGAGACTTGTGTTTCTGGTGAGTCTCATTCCTTGGGTGGTGGGGTGTTTTTAGAAAAATAAGAGTTCCTTTTCAACACTATATTACAGTTCTTTGAATGCTTTTAAAGAATGGAGACATACAATCTTTCACATTTTATACTTTTACCTTCATGCATTCTCTGCATAGGGTACAAATACACCCCACTAACTATTCCCCAATCTCACCCCTCCAAAAAAAAAAAAAAAACGTACCCGAGTCCTCTATCACTGCAGCGCTGTGCCCAGACACACACAGCTCGGCTCGGGAGTGCACCAACATGGATGCCCCCATAGCACAGGGCTTTCTGTTGTGATCCTCATACGAAGAATTGGGGGACAGCATTGGGAGAAACCACCAAGGAGGTAAATGACTGGCTTTGTGCAATATCTTTGCACAGAGCAAGATAAGCATATCCTTTCTTTTTTTTTTTTTTTTAATTAAAAAAAAAAAAAATATGCCTTTAGAATCACTTTATTGCACATTCCGAAATGCTCATCGCTAGAGCCAATTTTGTATATCTACAGTTTTCCACAGTATTCACCATTGTGTGCCATTACATGACAATCAGTTGTTAGTTTGTGTACAAAGTGCAAAACCTTGCACATTCAGGCAGTGTGTAAACTCGGACCTTCCAAGCAATAAAGTCTTTTCTTTGCCAACTGAGCTCAGGATTCACCCTAGGCCAGCCAAGAATACAGGTCTGTGGACTTTACCAGAGTCTGTGTACTACATCTCAGCTACAGCAAATAAACAGCTTTCCCAGTGGAATGGGCAAATTTACCAAATACTCAACAGGCATTGATAAGGGGGTCAGGAGAAGGTATCTGGAGCATAGCCAGAGATAAAACAATGCATCCAAGGTGGTGGATCAGCTACAACAGATAAAGCTTTCTGGAATTCCAGAGAAAGTCAACAATTTGTTGACAACAAATGATAACGTTTCCCAGATGTCTCCACTGAAATCTATGGAGCCAAACACACAACAGCTCCAAAATCAGCTTCTCTACCTTGTCAAGCATCACGTCACTAAGGCTGGCCATACACTATACAATTTGCTTGAGAATTTTCCTTTAGATTTACCAAAAAAAAAACATATATGAGGTCAAACCTAAACCACACTTTCAATTGTATTCAATTAGGCAAGCTCTTGTGCTACATAGTGGAAGGTAATTCTAAAGGAAATTGGACAGAAAATTGTATAGTGTAAGGCCCCAAGGCTGGCCATACATTATACAATTTTCTAATTCAATTTTCCTTTAGATTTACCAAAACCATATAATATGAAGTCAGACGTAAACACTTTCAATTTGTATGCAATCAGGAAGGTCCTTGCACTCCATAGTTGAAAGGAAATCTAAAGGAAATGAAATAAGAACATTGTAAAATGTATGGCTGGGGCTGAGCGTAGAGATTTGAACAGTGGGTGTTAAAAAGGATAGGATTCCTGTCACTGAGCATGATCACACATGGGATTTATATTTGTAATTGTCCAAAAAAAAAAAACGACAAGATTTTATTAATATTATACAGGATTTATATAGCACCAACAGTTTGCTCAGCGCTGTTGGAACCACTCTTAATAAAAACATGGTGGCTAAATGGTTAGCACTTCTGCCTGGCAGTACTAGGGTCATTGGTTCAAATCCCAACCGTGGCACCACCTGCCTGGTGTTTGCATGTTCTCCCTGTGCCTGTGTGGGTACTCCGGTTTCCTCCCACACTCCAAAGACATGCTGGTAGGTTAATTGGTTCTTGTCTAAAATTGGCCCTAGTATTTATGAATGTGAGTTGAGGACCTTAGATTGTACGCTCCTTGAGGGTTAGGGACTGATGTAAATATACATGTAAAGTGCTGGGTAAATTGACAGCACTATAGAAGTACCTGTAATAAATAATAAAATAGAGTGCACTAATGACCCCTTTCCATAGGGGTTCTTCCGACACATGTGTTGTCTTCTATTGGACAGGGTACTTAGAACATTCTCCCGCAATCATCAGAAATCTGTTGTCTTATATTACAGCATATACAGGGGCGGACTGACAACTCATGGGGCCCCCGGGCAATAGGGGATCATGGGGCCCCTGTGTCCTTGTTCAAACTAAAAAAAAAACCTATGAAAAAGGTACCAGGGGCAACTCATGGGGGCCCCCTACCAGGGTGGATAAAAATCAATGATTTTTAAAAAAAAAAAAAATCAAACAAATCGGATTTTTTTAAATAAAATTCTTTTTGAGGGAAATATATTACCATCCAAAGGTTATTCCATCATGAAATAAAGATTAGTTTTTTAATTATGTAGAATAAGGCTGTATATGTTTAATTTTTTTGGTAAATAAATTCCATTAATCCATTCACAATGTCATGCTCTTCCAGAGGTTTTTGTAAGATTATTGGGCAGTTTCTCTGCCTACAAGATATTATCACAGATGCTTGGTTTACTTTTGCAGTTCTCAAAACTGAATTTGACTCAGCGGAGATCACATGCCTCCTCTTCACAGCAAAAATGTTATAACATGAACAGAGTTAAGAAAAAGAGCTTAATCCTAACTTCTACAAACCTATGAATACAGAATCAACCCCTTCAGTGCTAAGTTTCAAGAAGTTTGGTGAATAGGATAGAAACAATATTTTTCTGATTGTTTGCAGTGGAATAGATCTGCACAAGAAGAAAGTGAAACTAAGTGTGAGGAGGAAGGGGCTGACAGTCTAAGTTTCTTAAAATATATATATTTTGTTTAGCCAAATTAGTTAACAAACATGGATGTTTGTTTAAGCAAATAACATATGCTGTAATGTTATTGTTTCAGTTGAATAAATCTATTTAAATTGTTATTATTAAGGTAATGATTATTTTTTCTCCTTCCTAAGTACAACAGAAAAGTTGTCCAAATATGAATAATTAACCTATTAAACTGGAGATAAAAAAACTAATATGAAAAGTTGTTTTTCTAAAAATCTTCATCTACTTGCATATTAAAGTTATACCAGCAAGAATGTCTTTATGCAGAAAACTAGGATTTAAATCAAGCCTTACTGACTAGTGATTTAAATTGTGATTTAAATCAGTTTGTTTTAAATCAAATCCACCCTGCCACCTACTGACCTCGGGCAGTGCCCGAGTTTCCAAATGGTCAGTTCGCCCCTGAGCATATATAACAATTCTTTTCCAGAGAGATTTAATGGGCTCAGAGACCATTGATAAAACAATCTGTTGTCTTGTATTAATTGGAGGAAGAAGGATGACGATGTGTATATTTATAAATTTATTTTCCCACAGCAACTAGTCCAACAATTCTTTTCCAGAGAGATGCATTTATTCGAATAAAGATATTTGCAACAGATGACAGAAATGCAGCTGAATACTTGTAAATATTACGACGAACAAAAGCCCTCAGAGTCCCATTTAAGATGCTTCATATCAAACATGGAGATATTACAGTTCCCAGCATATGTCCGATCTATAATATGCACCTAGGTAGCTTCCATGCGAGCAGTAATGCGAGTTATGATCTATATCTGTGCTCCCATATTAATGACAGGAACATGCTCCTCTCCCAGCCAAAATAATGTCCCTTGGAATACAGTTTACTGGACGGGTTTCTGATTTGCTGACAAAACACTTTTGATCTTACATGAAAAGACTTCACTTGTCATTACTGTAAATAACATTTAAGGTCACTATAGTGTTTACCAGGTACACAAGTCACCATTTGCCCTGAATACCCCCTGGAGTCTAATTACCATACCCTTTGAAATGTCTAATTAGATAAACAGGCTATTCCCCAAACCCCAAGGTGACCTTTCATAAAATTAACATAGCAAAGAGTTCTTTTGATGTGTAAAGTGGTCTTATCACTGGCCTGTCCAAGAATGAACAGTATTTGTTATATACTTATTTTTCGCTCCATAAGACGCACCTAGGTTTTAGAGGAGAAAAACAAGAAAAAAAATATTCTGAACCAATGGACTGCGGACACAGTACAGGAGGTGACCAGAGACTGCGGACACAGTACAGGGGATGACCAGAGACTGCGGACAAAGTACAGGAGATGACCAGAGACTGCGGACAAAGTACAGGAGATGACCAGAGACTGCGGACACAGTACAGGAGATGACCAGAGACTGCGGACACAGTACAGGGGATGACCAGAGACTGCGGACACAGTACAGGAGATGACCAGAGACTGTGGACACAGTACAGGGGATGACCAGAGACTGCGGACACAGTACAGGGGATGACCAGAGACTGCGGACACAGTACAGGGGATGACCAGAGACTGCGGACACAGTACAGGGGATGACCAGAGACTGCGGACACAGTACAGGGGCTGACCAGAGACTGCGGACACAGTACAGGGGCTGACCAGAGACTGCGGACACAGTACAGGGGCTGACCAGAGACTGCGGACACAGTACAGGGGCTGACCAGAGACTGCGGACACAGTACAGGGGCTGACCAGAGACTGCGGACACAGTACAGGGGCTGACCAGAGACTGCGGACACAGTACAGGGGCTGACCAGAGACTGCGGACACAGTACAGGGGCTGACCAGAGACTGCGGACACAGTACAGGGGCTGACCAGAGACTGCGGACACAGTACAGGGGCTGACCAGAGACTGCGGACACAGTACAGGGGCTGACCAGAGACTGCGGACACAGTACAGGGGCTGACCAGAGACTGCGGACACAGTACAGGGGCTGACCAGAGACTGCGGACACAGTACAGGGGCTGACCAGAGACTGCGGACACAGTACAGGGGCTGACCAGAGACTGCGGACACAGTACAGGGGCTGACCAGAGACTGCAGACCTTTAGGGAGGGAGGGGGAGCGGGTACCTGAATTTTACACTTCCGCGGAGCTCTCCTTCCTATACTGTGGGCAGCCGGGTGCCCACTGCGCATGAGCGAGAAGCGCTGCGCTTTGTGAATGGCCTGTCGTCTCCTGGGACCTGTCATGCACAGTGGGCACCCGGCTGTCACAGATGCCGGTGCGGGAAAGACTACAGCGCTGGACCAAGGAACAGGTGAGTTCCTGCCGCAGAGAACAGCTGAGCAGACGGGCCGGTATTCTGACATGGTGGCGGCTTAAATACCGGACCGGCCGCTTTATATTGGCTCCATAAGACGCACTGACATTTTCCCCCCTTTTTATGTATATATATTTGTTTCAGGTACTTATATAGCGCCGTCAATTTACGCAGAGCTTTACATATATATTGTACATTCACATCAGTCCCTAACCCTAAAGGGGTGTACAATCTAAGGTCCCTAACTCACATTCATACATATACTATGGGCAATTTAGACAGAATCCAATTAACCTACCTGCATGTCTTTTGGAGTGTGGGAGGAAACCAGAGTACTCGGAGGAAACCCACGCAGGCACAGGGAGAACATGCAAACGCCAGGCAGGTGGTGCCGTGGTTGGGATTACAACCAATGACCCTAGTACTACCAGGCGGAAGTGCTAACCACTAAGCCACCGTGACACACACACACACACACACGGTTAAAGCCAAAGCTTAGTCCAGGGATGCAGGGAAAAGATGTATTACTCACCTTATTTCCTTGTTCCAGGATCGTGGGAGGTGTTGTATATAATGGAAATTAATAATCTAGTGTAATTATTAGTATTGTGTTGGAAACAGGAGTGCACTGGTGTGTGTATAACGCAATAGAGGTCAATTCGCTAAGATAAATACAGCAGTTTTTGAGTTAAAATAATTTATGCTCTATTTAGCTCAAAAGTATTCAATTCACTAAAGAAACACAAATGCAATAAATATTTGTTTTTTGATATTTAGTGCTTACATTTTGCGTTTATTTTTGGCATGTTTTTTTTTTTTTTTTTTTTTTGCAGGCTAACACTGCACAAAAATGCACACAGCAATATTGTGGAACTATGAAAACATTCTAGTGTGATTTTCATTCACAAAACACTCATCTTCCTCTGAAATGTTACAATTTACATTCCTGAGCTCAGAGGAGAACATGTTCACACTGATACTTTGTATACTTTTCACTATCTGGACAGTGAAAAGGAAATTGTTATTTTGTACATTTTTAAAATACCACCAGCAAACAACTGGTGATAAATAAGTGTGTGTGTGTGTGTGTTTGTTTTTGAATTGACTTTTTTTTGTTTGTTTTAAATTTCTCACTATTTTAACCAGTTCCACACTGCCTAAAGCAGAAATACTGCTATAGGGCACCACGGGTGTGCAAAATCACGTGTGTGTGTATACATGAATTTGCAGTTCCGGATAGGGGCTCACGCAAGCCCTATCCACGTCGCCATTGTGACCTCAGCTGTCAATCACCGGGTCCCGGCCGGTGATTATTCGGCGGCACCCGGTGATTGCCGAAAATATCTGACGTGGGAGAGATCTGTATGTAGACAATACAGATCTCTCCTCTCTCAGCTCCTGCACACTGCTTTGTATGGCTGTGCATAGCAGAGCCATACAAACTAGTGTGCTTACAGTGAAGCGCACACACAACCCCCATAGTGAAACCGCACGCACTTAACCCTTTGATCGCTCCAGATGTTCAGCCCTTCATGCCCAGTGTCAGTTCCTTCCCCCCCTTGTGTCAGAATGCCCACCACAATCCCCGCTAGAAGTAGCTGATTGCTGCTATTGCTAGAAAGAAAGAAAAAATTCCAGTATATATACCATGATTTGTACACTCTATAACTTTCACATAAACCAATTCATTTACTTCTTTTTTTTTTTTTCTTTTTCTTTTTAGCAAAGACATGTTGCAGAATACATTCTTGGCCTAAATTTATGATGAAATTTGATTTTTTAAAATATTTTACCAGACATGTTTTATAGCAAAAAGCAAAACATAGTTTTTTTTTTTTTTTTTTTTTTTTTTTTTGTTTTCAATTTTCGTTTTTTTTTTTAATAGCGCAAAAATTAAAAATGTACAGGCGATCAAATACCACCTGAAAGAGGGCACAATTTGTGGGGGGAAAAAAAGGATGTAAATTTCATTTGGGTGCAGCATTGCATGACCGCACAATTGTTAAAGTAACACAGCGCCGTATCGCAAAAAATGGCCTGGTCAGGAAGGGGGATAAATCCTCAGGAGAGCAAGTGGTTAATCAATGTGTGATATTTACCTCACATTCATTATTTTACTTTGACAAATTGACTCTTTTGTTCTCATGCGATATTTCTGAAAAACAAAATAGTCACGTGACATTCATATTTCATGCGGTAACCTTTAGTGAATTGACCCCAATGTCCTTAAAGTTGTTCTAAAGCCTCAAGCTTTTTAACCTTCATGCATTCTATGCATAAAGGTGAAAAAACCTTCTCTGCTGCAGGATCCCCCCAGCCCCCCCTTATTCTTACAATCGAATCCAGTGACCTGCATGATAGCAGTGGCTCTCACCGTTAGCTCCCTTCTCATTGGGCAGATTGATAGCTGTGGGAGACATTGGCTTCTGCTCCTGTCAATTAAGTCCAGTGAGGAACGAGCGGGGCACAGGGCCGAGTCCCATTGTCTGTGTCAATGGACACAGCAACAGGACTCTGGAACGAGCATGCACGAGTGGCCCCATGGGAAGCAACTTCCTGTTGGAGCACTGGACAGAGAGGAGGAGCCTGGAGCACCAGTGGGGAACCCGAGAAGAGGGAGGTTCAGGGCCGCTCTATTCAGTTCTATTCCATTGCACACAACAGGCAAGTCCACAGATGTTTGTAAAAGAACATTTAAAAAAAAAAAAAAAACATTCACTTTAAGGCTCCATGCACATTGGTGTTTTTTTTTAAGCTCCTAAAAGTTATTTTCAGCTTATTATTATTATTATTATTATTATTATTATTTATTTATTATTATTTTTTTTTTTTTTTTCTGCTCCTAGAAGCTAAGTAGCGTCCTATGTGTCCATGCACACGACTTTTTAGGCTAGTAGCATTTTTTGAGCTTCAGCGTCTAGGAGCAGAAAAAAAGTTTTTGCAGAGGTGTTTTTTTTTTTTTTTTTTTAGTGAGCGCTGCTAAACATTACTAAAATGCTCCTAACAATTTTTTTTTTTTTTTTTTTTTACCTTCATGCATTCTATGTAAAAATACTTTTTGTGTGCAGCATCACCTCCAGCCTCCCCTGGTACTTGCCTGAGCCCCCTCTCAATCAAACGATGTGCACTGGAATCTCGTCTATCCCGGGACTCCCTCTTCTTGTGGGCCAAGACGGAAGTAGGAGTCGTTGGCTGTCAGTCACAGCCAGTGAGGCAATGAGAGAGAGAGAGGGGGCAGAGCTGAGTCTTGGCTCAATGTGTGAATGGACACATGGAGCATCAGTTGCCCCCTTGGCAAACTGCATGCTGTGGGGGCACCTGACAGGAGGGAGGGGCCAGGAGAGCCTGTGGGGAACCCGAGAAGAGGAGGATCCAGGCTGCTCTGTGCAGGACCACTGCACACAGCAGGTAAGTATAGACGTGTGTTTATTTTTTTTCTTTAAAGAAAACAAAAAAAAACCCTTTAGAATCATTTTCCACTTCTATGAAAAAAAAAAAATTTTTTTTTTTTTTTAAGCATATTCCAGCATATGCAAAGCAAAAATTTGCTAAATGATCCTAAACACTCCTAAACTGTTACTAACCGCTTTTTCCCTTAGCGGCTGTGGGCTTGTAGTTTTAAATGAACTACCACAGCGCCAATTCTGGTATTCATTGGCAAATGCCAATTGAGCTCGATGGTGCCGGGCAGTGAGCACAGGGCCCACTAGAGGATGTCCGGCCCTCAGGCCACCCTCATGAAGTCTTTCTGAATGTTTGGTCAGAGACATTCACACCAGTGGCCTGCTGGACGTCATTTTGTAGGGCTCTGGCAGTGCTCATCCTGTTCTTCCTTACACAATGGAGCAGATACCGGTCCTGCTGATGGGTTAAGGACTTTCTATGGCCCTGTCCAACTCTCCTGGAGTAACTGCCTGTCTCCTGGAATCTCCTCCATGCTTTCGAGACTGTGCTGGGAGACACAGCAAACCTTCTGGCATTGGCACATATTGATGTGCCATCTTGGAGTTGGACTGCCTGTGCAACCTCTGTAGGGTCCAGGTATCGCCTCATGCTACCAGTAGTGACACTGACCCTAGCCAAATGCAAAACTAGTGAAAAACAGGCAGAAAAAACGAGTAGGGGAAAAAAATGTCCGTGACCACCTGTAAAACAATTCCTGTTTTGGGGGTCATCTCATTGTTGCCCATCTAGTGCACCTGTTAATTTAATTCACGCCAAAGCAGCTGAAACAACCCCCTCTGCTACTTAACTGACCCGATCAATATCCCAGGAGTTTAATTGACTTGATGCTATACTCTGATTTAAAAAGTGTAATTTTTTTTTTTTCAGTAGTCTACATTCAGCAATGCGCACATATACTGTGTGTGTGTGTAATATATATATATATATATATTATATATTCTCTCTCTCTCTCTATATCTATCTATCTATCTAACTATTACACACAGTGAGGAACAGAAGTATTTGAACACCCTGCGATTTTGCAAGTTCTCCCACTTAGTTGATCTATTTTCACCAAGCTGCTTGGCAATTGCCCCGTAGCCCTTTCCAGCCTTGTGGAGGTCCACAATTTTGTCTCTGGTGTCTTTTGACAGCTCTTTGGTCTTGCCCATGGTAGTAGTTGGCGTCTGACTGACTGTGGGGTGGACCGGTGTCTTTAAAGAGCTCAAAAAGGTGCTACTAAGTTAGATTAATGAGTGGAGTAGAGTTGAACTTTTTATAGGCACAGTAACAGGTCTTTGAGAGCCAGAATTCTTGCTGTTTCTTAGGTGTTCAAATGCAAGACAAATTCTTTAAAAATCATACAATGTGATTTCCTGAATTTGTTTTTTAATTTTTGTCTCTCAGAGTGGGAATGCACCTACAATGTAAATTTCAGACCCCTCCATGATTTCTAATTGGGAGAACTTGCAAAATCGCAGGGTGTTCAAATACTTCTGTTCCTGACTGTATATATGGATATATGTGTTTTTTTTTGTTTTTTTGTTTTCTTCAAGCCAAAAAAAAATGTTGATTACAGTATAGGAGAACATGCTGGGGAGTTCAATGGCTGTAGAAAAAACCTCAAAAGCCAAAAACAGCCGTTGCAAAACCGTCCAGTGTGCATGAGGACTAAAGCAGCATGAATAAGTAATACGTACCGTATTCTGGGCTCCACGAGTCCCTACATCCAGGTAACTGGTCCAACGCATGCTCACCTCCTAATGTGCAATGCAGCAATAATAACCAGTACTGTACGCAAGGACATTAAGGGACTTCCTGTAGTTATATATATATATATATATATATATATATATATATAACTACAGGAAGTCCCTTAATGTCCTTGCGTACAGTACTGGTTATTATTGCTGCATTGCACATTAGGAGGTGAGCATGCGTTGGACCAGTTACCTGGATGTAGGGACTCGTGGAGCCCAGAATAAATTACGTATTACTTATTCATGCAGCTTTAGTCCTCATGCACACTGGACAGTTTACAGCGGCTGTTTTTGGCTTTTGATGTTTTTTTTTTCCTATAGCCATTGAACTCCCCAGCATGTTCTCCTATGTGTCCATGCAAACATAGACAGTAATGGACGTGTTTTTTTTTTTTTTTTTTTTTGGCTGGGAAAGAAATCCAGAACTAGTGGGTTTCTAGAGGTGCTTTTTAGCTGTAAAAACGCTCTAACGCTGAAAACACGGTAAGACATGGCAAACCGGCATTTTTGGACTTTGTGTTGTTTTTTTTTTTTTAAAGCAAAAAAAAGCGCAAATGCGATAGAACGTGGCTAAATGCAATTTATTGCGTTTTGCCGTGTTTTTCAGTGTTAGAGTGTTATTACAGCTAAAAAAAAAACCTCCTCTAGAAACCCACTAGTTCTGGATTTTTTTTTTCCAGTCAAAAAACATTGATTACAGTCTGTGTGCATGGACACATAGGATAACATGCTGGGGAGTTTACTGGCTGTAGAAAAAAATGTCAAAAGCCAAAAACCAGCTGCTGTAAAAATGCCAGTGTGCATGAGGACTTAAAGTAAGTGTAACAATAAACATGGTCTCCTAGAATGTAAGCTCGAAAGAGCAGGGCCCTCGAACCCCTCGTGGATTGTTTTGTTACTGTATTGTCTCATGTTCTGTCCCCCACTATAATGTACAGCGCTGAGCAAACCTTTTGGCGCTATATAAATACTGTATAATAATGGTCACAAAGGTGTCCTAAACCTTTTACCCAGGATTCGAATTGAAGCAAAATCCTAACAGGTTTTCCTTCCCATATGCTGCTAGAAAATGTGGGGAGCTTTTCCTTCAGTTTTTTTGCCTGACAAAAATGAAATGGGAAGTAAAAAGAAATCACATAAACAAAAAACTAACAGAAATGCAAAGTGGAAAGGGGTCCTAACAGTTCCTTACTCTTCAAAACTTAAAAAAAAATAAAACGTACAAAAAAAAAACCTTTTTACTGGACTTGAGCTCATATTGCATTTTGACAAGATTTCTCTGACTGTCTTTTTATTACATGACTTATCATTCTTTTATTTCTTTATAGGATCTTCATCATGACCCACCAACTTCTGCCCCGAGCTGTGGTTTCCTCTCGCTGGCTTTTGGACACTTTACGGGCTGGTTCAGCTCTCAGATCAAATGTTCGGGTACTTGATGCATCATGGCATCTCCCCAAAACTGGACGTGACCCTTGGCGTGAGTACAAGGAGCGTCACATTCCTGGAGCCTACTTCTTCGACATAGATGTTTGCAGTGACCGCACTTCCCCATATGACCACATGCTTCCCAGTGCAGACCAGTTTGCTGAATATGCTGGGAAACTTGGAATCTCTAACAGCAATCATGTTGTGGTCTACGACGCTAGTGATTTCGGCTCCTTCAGCGCTCCCCGGCTCTGGTGGATGTTTAGGGTTTTTGGGCATCCAAACGTGTCTGTGTTGGATGGTGGTTTTAAAGGTTGGTTAAGGGAAGGACATCCAGTAAAGTCGGGGAAGGAACCTCGCCCAGAGCCAGTAGAGTTCCAAGCAAAGCTGAATACTTCTCAAGTTATAGACCATGAGGAAATGGAGGACAACGTTGAGAAGAGGAAATTTCAGGCTGTGGATGCCAGAGTGGAGGGACGGTTCAGAGGACTTGACCCTGAGCCCGGGAAGGTAAGAGTGGTGTAGTGCCTATTGCTTCAAGCTCATGTTGAATACTTCATCTTTTGGAATATTTGCAGAGGCTAATGGCAGTTGTATATTTGTTCGGATGTTGCATCTGTTCCATGGAGCCCATTTACATAATAAGTTTGGGCTAGTGCTAGGATCCACTGCTACTGTCACTTTGACCAGGACAAAGCTTACTTTTCGGTCAAGACCAAAGCAGAAGCCATCCTTCATGATACCCATGATTCTCAGTTTGTAATAGCCAGCTGTTGTCATACAGTGAGCACCTAATTTACTTCCTGATGGATCATCAATGAGACATTCATAATGCTACACAGTTTTTTTTTTGATACAATTTTGGGCAGGAACTCCGTTCCTCATCTATGTATTATGACCCAAGAAAGATTTCAGGGTATCCCAAAGGCTGCTCTTCACATGCTTCTATCTGTCTGAAGTGAATAAAGGATTGTACTTGGGCAGTAAATGTATAGTGCTGTTTGCTGACCAAGCCTGCCATTGCATAGAGGTTGTATAAATTATTATGTTAAAGTAGAACGTCAGGTATATAGCTAAATATACAGGAGAAATTCATGCAAAGCGGTTTTACCTGCCAAAAGATTTGTATTTATGTATACAATCCAGCCCTGTCTGGCAGGAAAGAAGAGCTGGTTTTTCTATTTTGTTATTCAGTGGCATTGACACTCTGCTCTCCCCTCCTATCAGTATGCTCTTTGCACTCCAGCACATGTGCTGCCTCTTCCTCCTCCTCTCTGAGCTTTGCTGTACAGGGATTACAGGAGGCTGATGCCAAGTGAAATTTAGGCTCTTACACTTCTTGCATTTAAAAAATACATTGATGTAAGTCAGACAGTTTGCATGAAGGAGTGCAGATCCATCCCTGTAGAAACAGGGATGTTCAATGGATATTGCCCGATGCCTGGGACATGTAGTTCTGGGTGCTGGGCAGGTAGTTTATTTGAACCTTTAGCCCTGCTGCAGGCAAAAGCAGCAGGGCTTACCTGTCAGGTGGAAGCATTCGCTTCCTGTCCGAATTGCTTCCTCACTGCCCGCTACAGTGCCAGCCTTTATTCTCCTACCCATTATGTCTCCTGGACTCTGCTGGCCCATCTGCGGGCCTGGGACTGGTTCAGCAGATGCCAGCGGGTATAGGGGAGGGAGGAGAGTGGACACATCCGCTCCCCTCCCTCCTGTCCTAACCCAGAAGTGACATTGTGACGTCACTTCCGGGTCCCCATGGACAGATTTCCTGGCCATCAAGGCCAGGAAAGAATGTAATGCAGTGCAATGTGCATTGCATTACATCCAGTGGAGTACAGGGGAGACATGCAGTGTCTTTTAGACCCCCGGATGTCTCAATAAAGAGAACCTGTCACCAAAAATCATCATATAGTGCACTTTGTCCTCTGTCACAGGTATCAAACTGCAGCCCTCCAGCTGTCAAGGAGTCCCATCGTGCCTACATATCGCCGCACACGCCAGAATGAGAGCAATAACTTTAGCACCAGACCTGCTCTGTAATGCTAAACTGATGACCTATAAGAGGCTTTAAAAGCATCTACTAAAGTCTCACTGTTTCAGGAGCGCGCACGCAAATTTAAGGTTTGACATGTTGGATAGCTATTTACTCGGTGCAACCTCTCTTTTTATATTTTACCAAAAAATTGGGTAATTTTATTGCTCTTTTTGTGCCCTAGAATTAAAGTGTATTTTTTACTGAAATTGTGTTTCCTAGACCTTTTGTAATATCATGTGGCATAAGAAATTTAAACTACCACTACTTTTATTCTCTAGGGTCTCTGCTTTCAGAAAATATATAATGTTTTGGGGGTTTTGTGTAATCTTCAGGCCTAAAATTATTTTTTTAACCGTGTGCAAAACGCAAAAATGGCTCTGGCAGGAAAAGGGATAAAGGATAAACATGAGACTCCCCTATCCTGACAAGCAGTGCTCATTACACTGCAAGGTCTCTCCTCCCTGCTAGCCCCCGGGTGTGGTGCTGGAGACAGGCAGGGAGGTTAGGAGCAGCTAAACAATGCAATGTTAACAATATTAAATGTTTAAGTCGCCATAAAGCCCCTTTTTGTTTTTAAAAGCCCCTCAGATTTAAAGCAATTCTAAAGGTGTGTTTTTTTTTTTTTGTTTTTTTTGTGTGGTTTTGCACAGAGCAGCCTGGATTCTCTTCTCTGGTCCCCCGCAGGCTCTCCTGGCTCCTATCTGTTGGGTACCTCCATAGCAAACAGCTTGCTATGGGGGCACCCACTGCTCCATGTGGCCATTCACACAGAGCTGTGGCTTGGTCCCGCCCTCTGTCTCCTCATTGGCTTGCTGTCTCAGGTAAAGAAAAGGCAGAGACCTGGAACAGCCGAGGCTGTCATTCACATCGCTGGATCGTGATGAGGCTCAGGTAAGTATTGGGGGAGCTGCTGCACACAGATGGTTTTTGTTTTTTTTTTTTTTTTTTACCTTCATGCATAGAATTTTTTTTTATCTGGACAATTAGATTGTTATGAGGGACAAATAGATTGGGACACCGATTTATTCCCTGGACAAGTAGTTTTTTTTTTTTGTTTTGTTTTTTTTTAAATTTCCTCACCCCTGGCACATGTAAGGGCTTGGATGTGCAGACCAGCATACATCCGCAGCCTGCCATTGATTTTGTATAGGCGGATGAGCACAAACACCTGTACTCCTGGAAGCAGAAATATATAATCTTCGTCATGGTGTACCCTTCTACGGCTGTGTAAATGAGCACTTGTGGTATATTTCTGTTTTGTAGTATAACTGCAAATGATAGAAACCAGAGATGAGGAGATCGTGCTGAAAACCATAAGTAAAAGTGTTCTATAAAAGTACACTGTCCTTTTTATCACTGTACAGCAGGGGTGCTCAACCTTTTCAGAGGAAAAAGGGCAACTTATGTGATTTGGTAACCGGTCATGAGCCACAATTGAATTATGGGGTTTTATGCCCCCCTTTCCCAAACCACAAATGTAAACGAGCCCCCACTGTCCTATAAGGCTCTTTCACACTGATGCGCTGCGGTTTGCCTGCACCGCTGGGTGCAGCCCAGTGCACCTACAGCTTTCCTGACGGTTAGCTGCACTGGGCCATAGATTTTTATCACATCTTGCAGGTGTTGTGCGCTTTCCGAAAGTGCACCAAACATACAGGATCTAATAGAAGTCTGTGGCTCAGCGCAGCTAACCTGCAGATCAGTGTGAATGCAGCCTAATAACCCTTTTTTTTAGAAGTGCTAATCTGCCCAGTGCAAAGTGAAGTATATGTGTTGTTTTGATCTTTTCCCCTTCTAGCTTCTTTTGGCATCGCTCTCCAGTCTGCTAGAAAGGCTCCTAGTTGAAGTGCACTTGATATCACTCTGCCTAGTACAGAGGAAGCATTGGCTTATGCGGTTCCTGCTTCCTCCTCTGCCAGTGTTGGGTCAATGCACTCTGACGCTCTGGGATGACGGCTCAGCAACCCATTGATTGTGATCTGAACTTGCTAGTCCACCATCCCAGAGCATGCGCTTCCCTAGGTTGAGGCCGTGGGCCACATCAGAGGGCTCCGTGATCCACTGGTTGATCGCCCCTGCTGTACAGGGTTTCCTTAAAGTCTGGACACAGGCAAAATGCATATTTTTCAATACATTTTTCAATAACATTTTATTAATCAAGCTCTGGGATGGGGGCTCAGCAACCCATTGATTGTGATCTGAGCTTGCTAGTCCACCATCCCAGAGCATGCGCTTTCCTAGGTTGAGGCCGTGGGCCACATCAGAGGGCTCCGTGAGCCACTGGTTGATCACCCCTGCTGTACAGGGTTTCCTTAAAGTCTGGACACAGGCAAAATGCATATTTTTCAATAACATTTTATTAAACAAGAACATCTTCAATGTGATTTCCACCATTTGTGATGCAAAGTTCCATGGGCTTTGCAAGATTCATATGACTCTGATGCAGTAATTCCACCATTGTCAAATTTGAGCATACCCCAAGAAAAGAAGTCAAGGGGGTTAAGGTCTGGTGAGCCTATATAGACAGATATTTTCTTTCTATTTATCCTTTAGGGATACCGTGTAATGTAAAACAGTCTGGCACTGCAGATAAACCCAACAAAACAAGGTGATAGGTGATAGAATAAGGGCAGATCCTACGTGCAATATGTTGCCTATGGCTGTAAGCAGTTCATTTTTGTAACCAGTTTAACAAGTCCTATGTTGTTGACCAGTCACCTTTGTGGTCCCAACCTCTGGCTCTGTTCTGATCACGTACACTTGAAGATTTTGCATGCCTGATCTGTTACCTAGTAGGGATTTGGGACAAAGTGTTGGAGATGTAGATGATTACATTGGCAGGGAGCACAGTATTTTCCTTGTTTCATTTTAATCATCAATCATTGTGTTTTGCAAAGATGAAATCTCATTTATCCCCAGCATCACATTCACTAGGTTTAGCTGCAGGGAGCGATTCTGCTGCCCTGTGTACGTTATTAGAAGTCACACAAGTCATAGCATTCACAGGGTTGGAGACTCTTCCCCTATGTGTCAGGACTGGTGCTTGGTGATTGACCCAGCAGTGTCACATGGAATTTAGGTTTCGTTCACAGTAGCGCTGTCAAACCTGCAGTTATCATTTCAAGGAAATTTCTAAATGTGCATATAAATGGGGTAATGATTTCTCAATGGTGCCATTCACACTGTGCATTTTTATGTGCAGTCAGCCATAAAGAGCTAGTGAGGCATTTTGCTCATGCGGCTAGAGCTGCTTGTAGGTCGCTTAAGCATGTAAATGCAGATGCAGTGGCCATAGGGGCACAGTGGTTGTATCTGACAGGCGTGCTGGGGCACGTGCACAGCCCTGAATGCACACCCTAGATGCCAAGTCCTTTCCCAGCCAGTGTCATTAGTACAGTGTCACACGGCACAGTGGCTTAGTGGTTGTGCATGTAAATGGGTCATGGGTTCAATTATCCCAACCATGGCAACCTCCTGCATAGACTGTGTGCATTGCATGTTCTCCCTGTGCTGCGTGGGTTTCACACCCTCACACATTCCAAAGACATGCTGGTAGGTTAATTGGCTCCCATCTAAATTGTCCTAGTTTTCATCCCTGGCCATGCAGGATCCAGGATCCCCTGAGAATTCATGGAAAAAGTCGTGTACGAGTGATGGTCCATGCAATCGCCAAGGGTCGGATACGATTGAATGGATTTTTTTTTTTTTATATTCATATATATATATATATATATATATATATATATATATATATATATATATATATATATATATTTCTGCATTCTGGAAGAAAAATGACAATTTTTTTTTTTTTTTTTTTTTTTTTTTTTTTTTTTTTTTTTTTTTTTTTCCGGAAGGCAGAAATATAATATTCTCTGGCCATGAAAGGGGGGGGGGGTTCCAGAGGTCAAATAGTTGAACTGCTAACATTTTATTTATTTTTAACTGCTGTGTGCCTTCTTTTCCCTGTGACAACCAATCACTCTGTGTGTTGTATGAGTAGCACGGGGACAGGAAGTGAGCAAAAAATCACAGACCGAAATAAACCCAATTAAAAATTTCAACCCTTCCCACACAATCCAGAGTTAAAAAAAAAAAAAAAAAAAAAAAAAAAAAAATTGGATCTGGACTTCAAAGCCATACATAGGTTTATTTAAAAATTTTCTAGCGGGTAGCTTTTTTATGACAGACTCTGCATGTCTCTTCTAACATACAGTAAATGCTCCCCCTTGCCTGCTAGCATGTTTTTCAAATTGTACACTGAACCACAAATGTGCAGCTCATTGTATAATCTCGCTGGGATATGATAATTCCCATGTGCGTTTACAGAAATTATATCATCCCTGTTCATCTGTTTGACCACATTTTGTGAGGATCTGCCCAGTTGGATCTTCTTAAATTGAATGAACTGCTTAGGATAGCCCAACCAATGGCATATAATGTGTGTGTATTTACCAATGACTTCCTGATCATTTTATAATTTTTGCTTTGTTTCAGGAATTGAGCCTGGTCACATACCTGGCACCATGAACCTCCCTTTCCCAAGCTTCCTTACAGAAGAAGGCAATGAAAAGTCTCCCGAAGAACTTAAACGTATTTTCCAGGAGAAAGGCATTGACCTGTCAAAACCACTGGTGGCATCGTGTGGCTCCGGAGTCACTGCCTGCCACGTGGCTCTTGCTGCTTTCCTTTGTGGTAAAGAAGATGTTGCCATATATGACGGTTCGTGGGTTGAGTGGTACATGCGTGCCAAGCCAGAGGATATTGTATCAGAAGGCAGGGGGAAGACCTTGTAAGTGTCTTGTCAAACATCCTGCTTCTAAAGACTTGTGAACTTGCTTCACAAACTTCTGACTATAGCCCTTGTGCTATCATTGTCTGGTGTACTCATTCACATTGAAAACCTTCCGCTTTGTTACAACAACATTGCTATTATGTGCCTTAGTCCTCATGCACACTGGATGTTTTTACAGCTGCTGTTTTTGGCTTTTGCCGTTTTTTTGATGTTGTGCTTTTTTTTTTTTTTTTTCCCCTCTACAGCCAGTAAACCCTCCAGCATGCTATCCTATGTGTCCATGCACACATAGACTGTAATCAACATTTTTTTGACTGTAAAAAAACCCCAGGACTAGTGGGTTTCTAGAGGCGGTTTTTAGCTGTAAAAACAATCTAAAGCTGTAAAACGCCACAAACCGGTGTTTTTGGACGTATGTTTTTTTTTTTTTTCTTTGGTAAAAAAAAATCCCCCACAAACGCGGGTAAAAGCTAAAAAAAAGCTGAAAAACTCACGTTTTTAACGTGACTTTAAACAGCTAACGTTACCAACGTTATCAAAACACCCAGTCTGCATAGAGCCTTCAATTTAATACAAGATATATGCTATATTCATTGATTATGGCTTGAAGGGCTAGTAAAGTTAAAGCTGTATTATATAAAAGGAACAGAGCCAAGAAAGTATTCAGGGGCTTTAGGTCCTTATCAGAAGTGATATTTGAAATTATTAGGACCTTGTAAGGGAGATGAACCCTTGCATTCTTTCGCTTGAATGGGGGGTGTGATTTGCACCATAATGCATCTAATACATTACATACTTAATGGCAGAGTGCCTGTTCCAATCACATTCAAACTTCCAAGGCAGGTTTTATTTCAGTTGGTTGCCTGAATGGTGACAGTTTTATTTTTTATATTTTTTTTTTTTTTTTTACATCAGACTTTCTGTATGTGACTGGCTGCAAAGAGCCTCCAAGTAGCTTGTGGATTATGGTCCCTACGTAGATCTCAAGGCTTAAAGCGGAGTTCCACTCACCTGTCAAAAAATAAGTCAGCAACTACAAAAACTGTAGCTGCTGACTTTTTAAAAAAACAGCCACTTACCTGTCCCTCGGTCCTGCAGTGTGTCTCCCACAGCCCATTTAACCAGCTGTCCTGTATTCCAGGAGGCCGGCATCTTCAGTGTGGGCACCCTGCTGTGATAGCTTGCGGCTTCACAGCCGGTTACCCACTGCGCATGCGCGAGTAGCACTGCGCTTCATGAATGGTCCTGTAGTCTTCTGGGACCTGTCATGTGTCTCAAAAGACTACAGGGAGGGAGGGGTACCTGTCAAATTCGGGTACCTGCTCCCCCGAAGCGCCCCCCCCCCCCCCCCCCCCCCCCAACGGCCCCCAAAGGTGCCAATTGTTAATGGAGAGCGGGGGGGGAGCAGTCTTTAAAGCGGAACTTCCCCTTTTGGGTGGAGCTCCGCTTTAAAGATGAATTCCAGTCTGCACCTAGCTATTATTGAAATTGCTACCCCTAACCACCTAGGCTGAATAACCTGCGTAAGAAAAATGTATTTATAAGCCTACTCCAATCTGGGCATGTGATCCAACTTCCCTATGTCAGTCAGTGGTGACTGCAGGGGAGAGGCGGGAGTGCCAACAACAGCTGGGCCATAGGTTGAGGTTGCACTTGTCAAGAGTTCTCTCCTCTCCCCTGCGGCCACATCTGGCTGACACAGGAAATTGCATGACTGGAGCAGGCTGAAAATGGGTAATTACATACATATTTCTTACCCAGGTTAGTCAGTATAGGTCAGTGGTTCTCAGCCTTCCTAATGCTGCCACCCTTTAATACAGTTCTCATGTTGTGGTGACCCCCAACCATAAAATTATTTTCGTTGCTACTTCATAAATGTAATTTTGCAGTGGGAGGACTAGTGCTACATCACTGATGTCAGTGGGAGGAATAGTGTCCCATCGTTAGTATCAGTGGGAGGAATAGTGCCACATTGTTGGTGTCAGTGGGAGGAATAGTGCTCCATCATTGGTGTCAGTGTGGGAGGAATAGTGCCCCATCGTTGGTGTCGGGGGGGGGGGGGGAAATAGTGCCCCATCATTGATACTAGTGTGGGGGGGAATTGTGCCCCATCCTTGGTGTCAGTGGGGGGGATAGTGCCCCATCCTTGGTGTCAGTGGGGGGGAATAGTGCCCCATCGTTGTTGTCAGTGGGAGGGGGGGAGGAAATGGTGCCCCATTGTTGGTGTCAGTGGGAGGAATAGTGCCCCATCGTTGGTGTTAGTGACACCAATGATGGGGCACTATTCCTCCCACTGACACCAATGATACTTGCTGACTCCTGCTCCAGCCTGGGCTAGCTCCCTCCCTCTCCCATCTACAGCCAGCATACCTGGCTGCAGCAGCAACATCTGCACGCTACAGTAACTTACCTGTCAGCTGTCTTCCTTCTCCGGCCGCTCCCTCGCTCGATCTTATTTGATCTTCGCGCTGCTGCTTGGCTCCTCCTCCTCGCTGGTGATTGGCCGCCTGTGTGCCTCTCCTGAGCTACAGTTCTGGCGGCCAATCACTGGTGAGGAGGCGGAGCTGTTGAGTGATCCTGGGGGTGTGGCCAGATGACAGGGGCGGCATGTCATCCCGCACACACATCGCGGTCCAGGGAAATGTGGGCGGATCCGCCTGGAGACTGATAGAGGAGCGGTGTCTCGGTTCCTAAGACCATCGGAAATATGTGTTTTTTGCAAGTTTGGTAAGTTGCAATATACACTCACCAGCCCCTTTATTAGGCACACCTTGCTAGTGCCAAGAAAATATCCCCCCACACCATTGCACTAGCACCACCAGCCTGAACTGTTCATACAAGGTTCCCCTTTTCGGATCATTCTCTGTAAACCCCAGAGATGGTTGTGCATGAAAATCCCAGTAGATCAGCAGTTTTTTTTTTTAAATCCCCAGACCAGCCCGTCTGGCACCAACAACCATGCCATGTCCAAAGTCACTTAAATCCCCCTTTTTTACCCATTCTAATGCTCTGTTTGAACCTCAGCAAGTCGTCTTCACCACATCTAATTGCCTAAAGGCAGTTGCTCTCTTGTGATTGGCTGACACTTAGCAATTGAACAGGTGTGCCTTTATAAAGTGGCTGGTGAGTGTATTACATTTTTTTTGTTTTTGGGTTTAGATACGCTTTAAATTAAATGGCTAATAGCGCAGCCTCACAACTATGATAAATGCAGCTTTAGGAGGCTCTGTACAGGTATCTTTACAAGCATATTTGTTAATGTGTTATCTGCATTTTTGCAAAAAGTACGGTAAAAAAAATCTATATAAACTGCTCTGGTCCCTTCCTTTCTGAGAGGGCTGTTGATATCTGTCTGTGAAACACAAATCTCTGTTGTGTTGCATGTGAACGTTAGATGAATTGTGTTATAAGATTGTCATCCATGGATGGTTCTCATTGGGCTATTGTGTTATGGGGATGGGGGGGGATTATGTTTTACTGGGAAAATCGGGTATTTTTAAAACTGGAAATTAATACAAGTAGAGATAATCTCCTGTTTGCTGAAAGATTATATGTAAAAATCAGTTGAGATAGTATTTCAATTTTTTAATTTGTATGGATCTGTATCAAAAATATGAACTAAACGGCCAAATGTTTTAACAAGATAACATTTTGTAAATTCTTCACAGTGGGGGAAGTTCAACCTAGCTGGGAATATGGTTTTTGTTTCAAGTACATAATGCCTTTCAAGTGAATTTGTGCCCAAAATATGGACCGTGAAGAATCCTACATGTTATAAACAAGCCGTAAAAGCAATTTAAAAACGGTTTCATTCACCTCTATCTATAAGCATTGTGGAGAAATTAATTTTCAAAATTCTTAATGCAGGCACTGTGCTTTTCTACAAAGAACAGAATCTTACAGACTGAACAAGCTCTCTGATGTAAACAAGCGGTAGGCGTTACTAAGATGTTAGAAACGGACTAAATGCAACTGAACTTTTTAGCCTGGATTCGCACTGATGCGGTCCGGAATTTGCAGCGTTTTCTGTGCGAATTCCACACCGCATCAGAATCGCACCCCATTCATGTGATCTGTTGCGGGTGTGTATGTTAACACCTTGAAATTGGTCCTCAAAACGTGGTGCAATGTGCAGAATCGGATTGCATAGGTGTGAATACCCATGCAATCCAATTCTAGTGTGGACCCAAAAAAGGGTCTTGCACATTTTTGGTACGGATGCAGTGCGATTTGAGCCATACATAATGTATGGCTCAAATCGCACTGCACACAATTCACATGTGATTTCCACAGGAATGCGGTGCAAATCACATGCGATGTACCGCACCGGGTGTGAACCTAGCTTTAATCAGTTATGAACACTGGGCATGTTACACATCCCTGAAAAACTTTAGTGTATACGTAGTACATTCTGCCCTGCTGCTGTTCCTTCTTTCTTGCTAGCAATTCCCAACTGCCAAAATGACAGCCGGAATTGCTGTGTAAGGTTCCATGCACACAGGTGGTTTGGCCCATCAATGTTAAATTCTTGTGTTTCTGGGCACCTGGAAGGCACAGTGTCCAACAACTGTGTATTTCAGCCTGCTATGCTTGACAGGCTGCTAGTAAGGAGACTTGATGCTGCACTTGTCTTCTGGTCATCCAAAACCACTGGGATTTGATGCTGATGAGCCTAGCTATCCATGTACATTGTTTCTATTACGGAAAAAAAAAAACCTCTTGACACAATCTGGGGAATTGGTCAAGCTTCTTGGACTAGTTATAATGATGCAGGAATCTAGCAGGTCTATCTGCACCACCTCATCCTCATCTAAGAAGAGCAGGAATAGAACCTGTTTCCTCCAATGTTTATAAACCCTGTTCAAGATAGAGATAAAAAGTAAAATTTCTCTCAATTGGTAGATTGGATGGAAGGGTTTTGATCTGCATATGGTATCAGGTATCACCTTCTTCCCCTGCTCCTCTCAACTATTACTCATAATTTCTCTTTTTGAAAATTAA